GCTAGCAAGCCAATAGCTAGCCGCCACGTGTGCCTACATTAAGACTGGCCAATAATGTGGCTCGAATCTTAATACAAATGGCAGGAACTCCTTTGCATCGTGCATCACCATAATGCAAAAGAAATGCACTATGCAAAGAAAGCTACAGAACTGGCGGGAAAAGCTCCTGCACGCGGGTCCTCTGTTGCAACAGAACACTCCACTGTGCAAAAGAGCTGCAATTTTGGCGGGAACATGATTTAGCGATGCCGAAGCACACTCAAACAATAAAAACACAACTTTGGGTTGTGACAGTTATGAATGAACCTTTCTTTAGGATTAGGTGCTATGAATGAACCTTTCTTACAGATCACTATTTATGTTGTAGCCATGCACACAAAATTGTGACCCAACACTGTACAAACTCAAGGTCCAGACATATAGCCAGCAGAATGGAAAGATCTTCCTGGCACAAATCACAGGAAGGTGCAAGTATGTTGCACTAAAAGTATATGAAGTGTGTTGGTAGCCCACCTAGCTCCACATAAACATATTTAAATTGGATATTAAAAGGAAGGGATAACCAAAGCATTACATTAGGAAATTTCTGTGACGAGAATTTAGAAGTTAGTCAGCATTACTTTTTCTTTAAGGATTCTATATGCACCTCAGAGTTGGTTTGGAGGATTTGCTCTTTATATTTGCATGTACCTCGTAATGTTTCCCTTGGATTTTAGATTTTGGTGCTGGGTCTAGAATAAAAAAGACAAAGGAAAATACTGATGTTTTATTTCCTGGAAGGAGATCTTATCCTAAAGAATTCATCTTTAGATCTTAGGCTGCATGCCAGTTTTAATAAAAAAGGGACTATCGCATGAGAAAATGGAGCAGTCTTCTTCTGTTTTTTTTTTCTTTTTCTTTCTCTCTTCCTTCCCTTCCTTGCTCCTTTCTTTTTTTTTCTTTTTTTTTTTTTTGAATAATCATTGCTTTGTTTCTTTTCAGCTTCAGAGTTCTTTGTGCAGAGAAGACTGAATACTCCTCAGTAAGCCCCATCTACCTTGGACTTTTCCACGGTCATCTGGTGTCATGACCTGAAATTGGGGAATGAAGGGCACAGAATCACAGAATTAGGAATGTATTAAAATACATAAGGTCTGTAGCAACTGGATATTTCAGGTATTAGGTGATGGGAAAATTAAATTCTTCCCCTTTAGGTTTATTGTAAGAAAATGGGCTTAGAATTTCAAAAGAATTCAGGGTCAGATCACCCACAGTTGGAGTTTATTTTTCCCAGGACACATCCTTTTTTGCTGGCCTCTTTTGAAAACCTGATCCTTAATATAAGTCATCTTCAAATGGCTACTGATTGACAGTCTGTACAATTTGATTAGTAAAATGTACAGTCTATAGTCATATACAGAGAGCTTCTCAAAAGAACTAATGAGATTTGGAAGCACAAGTCCCATTGAAAATCAATTAGCGGATACTCCTAAATTACTGAGATGCTTTTAAAAATTGCCTCCATAACTTGGACAAGTGTTGAGCCATAGAAGAAAATGGGATAAGAACTGGTTCAGCTGCTTTCCCTGCTGGCAAGCTCAACAAACATGCCAAGGAATGTGTGGAGAAACTGAACTTCATTCCCCAGAAGCAGCCTTTCCAGAATATAGTGAGAGGTATGTGCTGTTGGTGCTTCATTATTCATCCAAGAAAATTCACAAACACCAATATTCTAATTAGGTACTAGATTGTTTGTTTGCTTAAGGCACTATTATCCCTTCCTAAAATGCATGATTTGCAAGGTGGGTATGCTCTTCTGTTCTATTTTTAAAGTGCCACTTAGACTCTTAATCCTTCTTACTTTTATGTTTCTTGCCCTGTGACTTGCATTCTTGGCTACACAGTGGCCCACCTTCAACTGGAAAAGTAGTGTGTGCTCTCAACACAGCATAGCCCCCATCATGGTAGTTAGGGAAATGTGATTTTGAATGCCATCAAGCTGAAGAAGCTGTCAAATCCAGGCCTCACACTTTCTACTTAAATTCCTATGCTTTCAAAGTTTCCATGCAGCATGGCTGGCACAGTAAACTATTCTGATTTTATGCAAAAAGAATCAAGGTAGTTATTTTTAAAGATATTTATAAATGTCTGTCAAACTTGCTGTCTCATTTTCATTTGCTATAGAGCTCTTTACTTATGTAAATTTCAGCAGATGTTAAGCACGTTTATGTTTCTCTGGAATATTAATACAACTCTGCTGCCTATAGACAGAAGAGGCTTCAAAAGAAAAATCAATATAGTATTCCAGTATGTGAGGTAAAAAAGAAAACGCCTTGCAGAACACATTCAATCTGGGAAGCGGAGCTGTCCTAGAGACCCATGGGTAGTGTTATCATTAGCACTCCCCAAGGGTGTTTTGTGTACCATTTCAAAGCTAGACTTTCACTGAGCAGAGGTGACAAGGGACCAGAAGCCTGGGAAGGGAAAACCTCATTGCCAACTGAATCAGGGAAGGGAGAAAGAACAGTTAAGTCTGAAACTGTAGAATGAAATCCAGCAATTTGCCTAGAATCCCAGTAAGGGCCTGTGTACTACGGTATAATGTAAACACTTACTGGGGTTTACATGGTGCACAGACCTTCTTTCTGGGATAATTTACTCTCATCATGTCCTCAGCTGGGAAAAATGAATATCTGTTTTTGGCCAGGATGTAAAAAAAATAGAGGTAACAAGTGGAAACTGTTGGGTTCTCAACATTTGTGATGAGTTGACACATATGGGTAGGAAACTTTAGGGACTTGTTTTAGAAAATCTTTTCTATCCTCTAAAATTACAGTAGAAAGATTAGTGTTCAAAGGACTTTGCTGAAAATTCTACCTTCAATTTCTCTGTATCTGTTTTGTCCTTCTAAGCTTAGCATTCTGGCAAAGGCTATATCTTCCTCAATGTGTGTATGGAGCCTGAGCCAACAAACCCATGCAAAATTATAATGATAATTTAAGCAATATAAACACAGTTTAACCCTCATACTGAGAAAGACAGACTCAGGAGCACCAGAAGTGGTGAATTTTGATAGTAAAAAAACTCTGTGAGGATATCCAATATCTCTAGGGACTCGGTTAACAATTTAGTCATTTGCCTGAGACAGTCAGTACCAAATAACATTGTGCTCTTGTTCAGGGATGGAGACAAAAATAACTGACATATAAGAGATTGTAAAGGCAAAAAAGTTCTAGAAAGAGACAAGAAGATTCTATGGTACCTTGCAGATTTCACTCCATTGACCTGTACCATTTGAATTTACAGCACGAACTTTAAAGAGATATTCTGTACTTGGATCTAGATTATGTATCTCAAGGTTTTGATGCTTTATCCCACTTAGCTGTCCAGCTAGTTGTGTCTGGATAACATTATCAGTAGTAACAGCAATGACTTCATAGAACTCTACATCAAAGAAGTCCACATCTTCTGTAGGGCATGTCCAGTAAATCTATGAAGAAAAAATATCTATACTGTCCAACTGTATTTTCTTTATTTTCTCCCATTTTAATTTCTGTGCTTTTAGATACATTTTGATGCTTTCTGTTTGACATATTTTAATTATATTATGACTATATAAATGTGAAAACACACACAACAAGTTATTAAATTATGTACATTATTTTTCCCAATATAGCATGTACTGAGATCAAAATAATACTAGTAGGAAACTTGTATTAGGTGATATACTAAATCCCTGAGCACACAGATTTGTCCAAGCATTTTTTAAAATAAACCCCCAAATTAAAATATTCCAAACAAAGTGGCCAAATGCTTCTATATACATGTATAAAAGATTCAACACTGAGAAATTGTGAGCAGTGCTATCAGGCTACAGTATAGTCCCATCCCCCTATATTGCTAAAATTTAATCTCAAAATGTTTACATTGGACTGGCACTATAACTTCTGTATCCTGTTGACTACAATCGGAACAATATTAAGTCCACTGTAATTTTTAGTATGTTGCCTCAAACGTTATAAGCATGAGTCATTCTTAACATTTTTTGATGATTTATATTGGAAGTGAAATGGGGAGATAGTATATTTCTGTCTAAGACATGATCTAGTCTATACACAATTTTAAAAAGTATAAAGTCTTACTTTGGCAGATTTTGGGTAGGCAAGCGTTTGGTAGATAATGACTAGACCTGGAGCTGTCAATGATCCATCTTCAAACATTTCTGGACTATGAATAATGCTGGGAGATGTTTCTTTACGTGAAATTTCAGATGTATCCCAACATGCAAACATTTTATTACTCTGTTTAGGATGAAGAGGAGGTGTGGATTTTGGTCTTCCATACATTTCTTTTTTCAGTACATTTGGGTCATACAGCGATGTTAAAGATGGACTTTGAAGTGCTATTTTTGGCTTCGATAAATGAGTACTGGAAACACGCTTTGGAACAATTATGCCAGAATTACAGGGGTAGGGATATTTGTTTACTTTATCATCTGATTGCTTTATCCTAACGGAGGTTGGGAAAATTCCATTCAAGTTGGTTGAAAGCTCTTCAAAGTTCAGTTTAAGATTCTGAATAGGATCTTCTCTAAGGCATGGGTTAGGCTGGTAAATGTTAGTGATTGCATCTTCTATTTCATTTACCAAAGAATTTGAAGATTGAAGAAATGCAATTTGATTCTCTTCCTTCAAAGCTTCCTTAGAATACTGAAGAAGGCTGTCCATGTAAGCAAGTTTTTTGGAAGCATGCTCCATATATTCTGTAATTCCTCTCTGTTTTTTAAATTCAAGGTTCTCAAGCAATTCCATCATCTCTTTCTCTCTCTCATGGAGTATGCTTCGTAATCTTAAGAATCCATTCCTGATCTCTTTCCTTTTAGTGTCCTTGTAGGATTTAAAGTTGTTTTTTAACACAAAGGTTTCCAATAAGTCATTATCAACCCCATACCGGACTGTAAAATAAAATAAAAATTAAAAATTAAACTGAATTAGGTCATTAACTTCAGCAATGAAATATAGTGATCAGCAAGAGTTGGTCTAGCACATGGGGACTTCACAGTTGATAAAAAAAAAAGGAACACAGAATGGAAATGCTGATGTTCTACTCTCAGTTATTCCCTTCTAGGATTCCTTAGGAAATTGTTTGGGCCAATACTTTCAAAATGAAGCACAGAAAGTTAACCACATTGGCCTCATATTAGCCATAGTAATAAAAAAAAAACCATAATAGTCCACGTTTCATATTGAAAATGATGGGGTTTTTTAGATATCTAAATGTGGTGTTAGATTAATATGTTTATACATTTGAGGCTAAATTTTTAAACTTATCCTATCAGTGATTCAGCTTACCTTCTTGTAAAAGGCGTGTGATGTTGTTTATCTACCTCACAATGGATATTGTGAAGCTTAGCTTATTAATGGTCTTGAAGCTCAGTATTAATGGGGGAGTTGCAGTATTAATGGGGGAGTTAAGTTAATATAAGGTAGTACTAAAATAATAATAGGAAATAACAATGAGTGTTTGAGTTTCTTCTGTTGTGCATATTTTATTGAATTCTGTTCTTGAGCTGTTTCCAATGTTTTGTTGTAAGAATGTAGTAGCTATGTACCTCATGTTGAATTTTGAAGAAGTTACCTGGTTAAGGCGGCCATAAATATAAATTATAAAATGATGCAGATAAGTCTGGAGGATCCTTCTGAGTTAAGACGTAGTGATGGGAAAAATTATATCAGGCAGACTTACCATATTGGGTCTGAGGTTGGCAAAGGGAAAGGGTGTATAGAATTATAGACAGGGAAAATAAAGAGTGGTGTCTGCTGGAAATCTAGAGAGATGATTGAGGGAACTGTGGGAAGGCACATAGAGAGTATGCTAATTAGTCAACTCTGCAGTAAAACACACATGTAGATGCACTCTTTCTGTCCAAAATTGCACCCCTTTTACAGTACAAACATTGGACTTTCTAGAAATTGTGACTTACTTTTCTAGTGACCTAGTTCATTAGGGTGTCAAGGTTAAGCTATAGTTTCAGTTTCTACTTAGTTTGGGCCATTACTGCTTCTGTTTTCTTTACAGCATGGATAATAAGTACCCTCTTCCTTTTCAAGTAGTCAAATTCATTAACAAATTTAGGTTAATGATTTTTTTCTCATGCTTGGAACATAAATGCTTGCCTGCAGCTCTCCCAACTAGAAACATCAGTCTACTTTCTTGCTGCTAGACATTGTTAGTTCAATGGCCCTTGGTTGCCCTGTGCTACCCATTATTCACACTTGCCTTCCTGACTCACATTTCCCACCCAAACTTAATGTGCCCCATTTTGAGCACTTGCCAAAAATGTATGCAAACAGCTAAACATCTAAAAGAAGATTATAAAATTCCATTTCCTATTCAATTGCTCAATTACTATGGAGACTAACACAGTACAGGAATCTGAATATAATATTTAAGTGAGATTATGTCAACATATGATCACAGAAAAGGTCAAGAAACTAGGGAATGGCCTTGATTCAGAACTAAGCAGAGCTATCTCACTGTGAGACCTCAGAGACCTCACTCAGCATAGATAAAAAATGGGCTAAAAGAAAATGAAAAGCAGAACTCCCTGGTAGAGAAAAGGAGCATCTCTGAATTTCCCATTGAAGACTGTTTATCGTATCATTCTTCAGGAGGAAGTAGTCTTTACTCCTGAAAGAATTAATTGAATTTTGGTCTCTGGATCCTACAGATTCTCATGCAGGCCTTTTTCCTTCAGAGGGCTTTTTGTTGGGTCCTGCGTTGTGATGCCACACAGCTGAAAATGGACCCTTTTTACCTCTCCCCATGACCATCCACCAGCTTTTTATTCCTTCTGACTTCAGCAGAATGGAGAACAGTTGGGCACTGGAAATCATATTTGAGTGTGTCTCTACCATTTATTTGATATGCAGCAAAATATTCAATAAGTGTAAATAAGTGGAAAAGAAAAATAGGAACCTTTTTTAAATTTTGCAATAGCATTGAAGAGGGCACCAGCCTCCCTTGAGCATGCCACTATCAAGGGCAATGTCTCATGGTCACTGTGCAGTGAGTTCTTGCAGTAGTCACAGATTAGCTCATGGTCATCTACACAGTATTCAGAGATAGGTGAACTGGAATGTACTAAGCAATTTGACTGTTCTTGATCTTCTTGATAGGCTTTGGTAAAAATGTGCTCTTGAGCAGAATCATCTCTATGATATAAACTTAGACATTCTTTACAAAAATTCATTTGACATGTCAGACATCTTTTGGATGCCTTTCTTTTCTTCTCTTTGCAAGCTTGACAATAAATTGATGTCTGAGTTCTGTCAAATCTCCACCTGATAAGGCCATGTTTCTGCATATATCTCTTAGCCAGTTTGGCTCTCAGTAAATTCTTCTTCAGCTGAATTTTATTAGAATAGGGAAGGCAATGTGCTTTGTTACACACTGGGCATATGAGAATGAAAAAGTTCTCAGACACTTCAGCCTTGGCCCTTCTTTTACCTATGCAATCCCCACAAACACAATGTTTACAGGGAAGCATAAATGGGTGGAGGTACAGTTGTTTACACGCTGGACAGGTGAGTTGATCACGAAAACTATGCCCTGAGACATCCTTGTCCAATGTAATGACAGATGTATCACTTCTAGTTCCAGGGCCTGGCAAAGACAGCCTTGAACTGAAAAAGAAAGAAACAAGATCTTCTCAGCTTCCAAATGTTCATTAAGAAACAGGCTGTAATATATATATATAGCTTTGCATTATTTACTGAAGATATTTTACACTTTGAATATGGGTATGATCCTCTATTCCCCCAGTGAATACTTATGAATGAGCTTTTTGATTGTCTCTACTTAGCCAATACGTATGAAACTATCCATTTCAGTTCCAGCATTTATATTGCAAGCATTACACAAACTAACACAAACAAACATCTGCATTTTGTTTTCTTATTCTTTATTTATAACTTGTGTATTTCCTTACATTTTTATAAAGATATGATACAAATAGATAGACAGGAAACAGAATATGCAATAAGCAGATAGTTCATTGGGAATGAGCAGAATAATGGATTTCTGGGAGGTTTGGATAGCAAGCAGGAGGAAAAAACCTAAAGAATATTTTTTTCCCCCATTTTGGGATTTCCCAGCATTTTGGGATTATTTTTGCTTAAAAATGGGAAAACCTGAAATGTTTTGATTTAAATTGAAATGTTTTGCATGATTTTTTTTTCTTTCAACCTGAAATGAATTGGTTTGTATCATTTTCAGGATATCCTAGTTTTTTTTTAAATACTCTGTTTTATTATTACTATTGTTGTCAGTTTTTAAATGAAGAATGTTTTGCTGAAAGTAAAAGTCAGAATGTTTCATTCTGAAAATATTAAATTGAGAGTTATTTCTTAAAATACATGCTTTATTTAAAAAATATCAAAACTTTTTTTTTAACATTTTCAGCTTTTTTTATTAATTATAGGTTTGGTCTGTCTGGAATTGCATTTGTCAGTAAACTTACTATACAGTGGAGAAGAAAAGAAAATCCCTTGCCTATCTTCCATCTCCTGATTTTCATGCACAGCTTTCTTTTTATTTACGAGGGTGGTAAGAATTGGCCTTCCAATGTGACCCTGGGTACTGGTTCTAGATTTTTAGGGTTAAGACTATCAAAAGTTGCTTGTAAGTTTTCTTGCACTTCAGATACACAGCTTGGAATGCCACAAAGTTACCCAGTTTTCAGAAATGCGGATCATTTATAGTTTGAAAGTCAAGGCTATTTTAATGTGTCTCCAGTCAGGTACACAAAAATCACTATTCATTTTCAAAACTGTGACCAACTGTCTCCATAAGCTATTCTTAAAACTGCGTAAAAAACATCATGCACAACTAACAGACACAATCCCCAAACTCCCTCACTTGCCACAGGTAAAGCTCGGGGACAAAGGGCACTGTCAGTATCCTGCCACAACAAGCACAGGAAGTAATTGTTAAACACAAGACAGATCCAAGGAAGAGGGCCTATGGTCCCTGCTATAGAAAGAGGTATGGAGGGAGGTAACCCCATCCACTCCACATACGTGCAGTGCCCATGCTGATCTGTATGGTAAAATTCCTTTCTGATCTCAAATGTGGTGAGTAGTCTGACCCTGGGTTGAGTAGTAAGACATTCTCACTATGAACCTCCAGGATTTTTAGTCCCAGAAAAAGCACTGACACAGTCATGTATCCCTCCATGTTTGAGCAATCCTCCTCTATCCTCAGCCTGCCTTAGTCAGTAGTTATGTCTCCATTTTAATATATGCTCTTCAGATGAATCTCTAAAATTAGTAATACTTTTTTTGTAATATTATTTCTTCTTCCAATTCTCTTCAGAGCACTTTTTAAAAAATACATTTGGTTTTCTTCCTCTTTCTCTTCCCCCTAACTACAATCCTTTCCCTCATTTACAATTGATTAGCACTTTACTCTCTTTAGTAGTCTACTTTGTTGTTTTCTTGGAATACTCCACACTTTTTCCTTTCCTCTTTCTTGGTTTGGCTCAGTCTGGCATTATCACCATTTCCAGCCATGTCTAACACCTTGAGAAAAAGGTGCCCAAAATTTTGCCCCCAAATGCCACAGAGCTAATAGACCATAATATAAATTTAAAAAGAAGGAATTTCAAAAACAGGCTTTGGTTTCACTTACTGATTTCTCCTTGGGATTCTTGGATGGTATGGTGAATGGGCAACATTTCTGCAGCATGTGCTTTCATAACACTGACAAACGGTATTCTCATCGGTGGCACAGCAGCAACACTTACAGTCTTCATCAGTTGAGAAAGAGCAGCAGCACCAAATACAATTTGGGTTCTCTGAACATGTACAATGGCAACACTGGCAAGATCGATCTTCATGGTAAGCGCAGGGAAAACAGTTGCAATTCCGCTCTTCAGTAAATAAAAAACGCCAACATAAGCAGCATTCTTCTTCTTTTGTTAAGATCGGTGGACAGCAATGGCAGCCTGGACAACATGGCCAAAATAAGCAACATAAGCATAAAGTCCTGGCCATCACCCTGTAAGACACTTAGAAGACCACTTGCCAAGGCTTTCAGTGTGTCCTCACTTTATGTTACACAGCAGCACTCCCCTCTTCAAAGCTTTGTGCTTTGGAGGAGAGGTGGATTTTTTTTCTCTGGTTAGAGAGTAATAGTGACATCACAAAGAGATTCCAAATAAGGGCATGAACATGGCCATATTTGCACATGTACATTACTCACTTGATTATCTTTTTATATCACAGTTGCTAAGCATTGCCTTTCAGGTTTCTTCCACTGGCACTAAACACTAGTATATCTAAGCTGGCAAATTCACATATTGCCCCAACAGCCAATGGCAGTTATGTAGAATTCTGGAACACATTGAAAATTTGGAAGCAGTGTGAAATAAAATGAATTTGATATAAAAATAAGTAACACCAGTAATATTTCACTGGTTGTTCACGTTCATATTTAATATGTGAAAAATATTACATATTCAAATCACATGCCCCAGAATTTCTTGTGTGCCAAAGAATCCCTGGGGTTTTGATGAAAATTTTAATTCCACCTTACCACAGAGAGAACATAGAGACTTTTCACTTGCTTCCTTCGTGGTGGGAGAAAGACATTTTATAGAGTCTTCTCTTTCTCAGGGCAGGTGACCTGTTGATACACCCCAAGAAACAAAGCAGTGTTGGTTTCTACTTTTCTACCTCACCTACTTCCAGATTCTCCCTGTCCTTTTCAGTCAGTGATTAAATGGCTTCAAAAGGAATACGTGATAAAAGAAATGCTATCTGCTTTTGCAGAGGAGACGCTTTCAGCATTTATCCATTTGTATGATCCCCATTTATTTCAAGAGCTCATTCAATGCCTTATTTTGAAATTTGTTTTCTATTGGCCTAGATCCAAGAATAATACCACAACTTACTTTCCGCCATGTCACATGTATGTGGCAGGAGGTGCATCAGATCCCATTTTGCTATGTTGCCAGTGGAGGAGGAGCCTGAACCAGAGCTCCCCTTGCCTCACAAAGTAGCAAGCATGGCTTCAACACATCATGTACACGGTACACTTCCAGGCTGGGAGCCCCAATCAGCTGAGGTGCCTCCCAGTGTCTGGAGCATACAAGAGTCTTGACAGGCTCCCATGTGCACTAGAGGCTGGCCAGTGGCCACACATTCAATTAAAGGCATGAGAAGAACCACCCACAAAATTATTACACATATTTTATGTAATCATTTTGTGGCTTGTTCCTGATTTTATCATGCTATTAATTTATTGAACGTGTGGCTAGGTCACTACTTAAGACATGATTAACCAGTTAATCATGTCTTGCATGTAAAATATCTCCAGGGCCTCAGTAATAGTATGTATCTACATTTTCCTTGGCCAGCTTCTTTTTCTCCTTGTATTCACTTCTCCTTTAAGTATTCTATTGGCCAAAGCAGGATGTCTCATAATGTGGTCAAACCAACATTTTATATTTTCCAACATCAGCTGTAATATCAGTTCTCAGCTATGAGCTGAATACCTGAATCAGCTCAACTATGAGCTGACACTATAAGCTGAGTATCTTTAAGAGCCATCTACAGCACTTTGTTTCAAATGCTTGCATGCACGTTTCTATAGCTACATTTCAGGTGCAACTTTAGACACCAAAGCTTAAAATATAGATTCTCCAAAATACTGCTCAGCTGCTTTCTAACTTTTGAGTTGCCTACAATGTGAAAGTACCTATATTTCTGGTACTAAAGCTTCTTAGAAGCCTAAAAGTCTTCTTCTGGGCATGCCCAAGAACACCTCAGGCTTGACAATAATAAGTGGCTCAGTCAGCACCTATCTTAGGCATAAATCAGCATTCATGAACTACAAGTTCCTTTGCTTCTCTCACTAGTAGTCATTCTCAGAGTACACCTTTTGTATCAGACTTCTCCAAACTAGCCATGGAGTCACTGATATGGCCTCTCTATGAAAATTACTGTGCTAGAAGAGTAGGAAAGAAAGTGAGTATGATACCTCTGCCTACTAGTTAGGATACTCAGCAGGGAAAATTATGTTCTATTGAATATTTAGCATAAAATAGGTAAGTCAGGGGCTCACAGGACAAAGGAAAAACTTGGGTTCAAGTTTTTACCTTACTGAATATTTCACTATATTATGCTAAATATTTAGTAGAGCACGGGCTAGAACCCTGCTCTCTCCTTCTCTCTGAGAATGATCTATGTGACTGTAGTCATTTTCCATCTCTTTTCCTAGTGCATGATATAATGGAAAGTGGAATAATTTCAACAGGACTGTACCAGAGCACCTCACTCCCAGCCATCCCAAAGTGCCAAAGAGGTTGTTAATTAGATTATTATTTGGGGAGGATTAAATCCTCTCAGGTAGACTGTCCATTGATGGTGATATTTGTTGAAGGATTTGACCAGGATAGATTAACCTGTACTGATGCAGCTATATTCCTTCTGGTTCCCATGCTAGACTAGCTGCCACTATACAGCATTACACTGCAGTGTGATGAAGGAGATCAGTGCTTATGATCCCCATACCTCAACAGTAAGATCCACATTTTCCAAAGAGATAAGCCATGTACCTTTTTGAAAGAAAGGCAGGTTTGTGAGGAGGGGAGAACAGGAAAATATTTTAAACTGATTATATGTGAAGCTGTGTGATAGTCACATATCTTCCTAGTCAGTAATTACTGCAAAAGCATCCCTGTAGAGCCAAGCACTGCCAAGCTTTCATAAGACAATGGGTTTCTCTTGAACAATGTCTTGCACTCTCTCCCCTAAGGACTGACCAAAGGAATTATCTGAAAGTGATATAACAGGGTTTCACTGGTGCCAACCCTCTCTCATGGTAGTCTCCAACAGTTTAGCCATAGAGTTTTTTTAACTTCACTGAGATTACATCAGTGCAATGTGATACAGCATTTTTCACAGATTCTGTGCTCATTGGTTTGTATTAGCCCACTTCAGACATTTATAAATCTTTATCTTCTCAAATTTAAACTATACTGTTTACTTACCTTTGGGAGTGAAAAGGAAAACATAAGGGAAAAAGTTAATTTAAAACATTAAAATTGTATTGTTGCCTCACTTGAAAGCCTCTAAGCATCACACACTAACAGACTGATACACTGATTACTACAAAACCATCGACACCAGTTACCACACAGTTGCATTTAGGGTTGAGTACTTTATTCCTCAACTCACAACTGAAAATAAGAGTGACCACTGTATGGTAGCTGTTGGTGAGTGTTGGCTTTTAATGGCGATCACTGTACTGTAGGTAATTAAGAGTTTCTTTAAAATGCAAAATATTCATTAGCTTGGGTTAATCGGTTAATGCCTAATTTGGGAGTTATTAAGGCACGCATCTTGGCATACTTTATTGTAACAGCTCCTTTGTAGCCATTAGAGCCTATATGCTCAAAACCTACTCTAGTTAGAGAATTTTTAATTCACTGATCCATAGCCCAATAGACCATAATGGCTCAGTCATTATAGGCGGCCATTTACATGATGGACCATAATAGAGCCTTTGGAATGGTTATGGGCTATTGTGTCAATGAAGTAGAAGTACTAAGTCTGTGTATGAAAAATCTTTCTAGAATATTTGAGCAAAATAATTTATTGCAAATACTCAGACCTTTAGTAGCTGTGGGTTTTTACATTTTATTTCCCCAGGTTCCTTTGATGGCGAAGCTTTCTTTTCTCTTCTTTGTGCATATTTAACTTAGAAAATTAAAACACTTTTGAATTCCATGAGCATGAAAGCATATCTTGTAATACTAATGCTTGCTGCTTTTTTCAGTCTTATAATTCAGATATTCCTAAATAGATATTTTAAAAACGAAGGGAAAAAAAAGCAGCTACTCATCTTACGTGTCAAGTTTCAGATCAAAGCAAAATCTTGGTATGACAAGATTTGATTGCTGCAACCAACTCCTGGATACTTATTTCCCCGCTTTCTAGTCATCTTTCATGCCTGTCATTCTGACCAAGATTCCCCATTCTTTGATTCTCTGTAATACATTTTCCTTCTCTGCTGCATTATTTCTCTTCTTGTCTTTGTCTTCGGATATATTTTTCTCTGTTTATCTTCATCATCTTTTATTGTTCTACATTGTGATATGCCAGTGATGACACCTTCTCTGTTACCCTGTTTATATGCTGCTTCTCCAATCTTCTTTCATTTTCTTGTTTCTTATACTCTGTGTATAGACTACACTGCCTTAAGACCTTTGCTTTGATATGCAGCAGGTTTAGAGATTGACCCATTCTTTTTTATCCACGTTTGTTCACCATTAGCAGATACTAAAACATCTAATCACTCCTTTTGCCAGAGCAAAAATTACAGTTTTTCAGCAATATAGTTTGGCCAAGAGGCCACTTAATGATGCAAGTGCACAGCAGTTAAACTATGATTTTGTTGGTTTCCCCAATTCATGGGCTTTACCCTGCAAAGTTCCCATAGCTCCCATTGGCTTCACAGAGGCACATTCATGCTAGAGCCCTCACGTGCTTTTTGTACTCCTTTGATGTACTCCTTTGTACTCCAGAGATGGGCAGATGAGAATAGGATGGAATTCAATGCAGACAAGTGCAGGGTACTTCATCTAGAGAGAAGGAACCAGCAGCATACCTATAGGCTGGGGAACACCCTTCTCATCAGCACAGAGGTGGAAAGGGACCTTGGAGTCATTGTTGACTCCAGGTTGAACATGAGCCGCCAATGTGAGGAAGCTGTCAGTAAGGTTAGCCGTACCTTGTCATGCATCCACAGATGCGTCACAAGCAGGTCCAGGGAGGTGAGCCTCCCCCTCTATGCAGCATTGATCAGGCCGCAGTTGGAGTACTGTGTCCAGTTTTGGGTGCCGCACTTCAAGAGAGATGTGGCTAACATTGAGAGGGTCCAGAGTGGGCCACTTGCATGATTAGACATCAGGACGTATTACTTTACAGTTAGGGCGGCTAGGACCTGGAACCAACTTCCAAGGGAAGTGGTGCTCACTCCTACCTTGGGGGTCTTTAAGAGGAGGCTGGATAGACACCTGACTGGGGTCATATGACCCCAGCATCTATTCCTGCCCAAGGCAGAGGGTCAGACTTGATGATCTGTTGGATGATCCCTTCCAACCCTAGCTATTCTGATACTGTGATGGATCCCCAGTTCTCAAGCAAAATGTAGCATGGAAGAACAATAAAAAGGTTGAGGTATTAAGTCCTGCAAGAATACAATTTCAATTTAACTTAGATGACTTAGGAAAGACTACTTTTACTGAACCTTTATTAGTATTAATTCATTGAATGCAACTCAACTTTTTACCTGACAGCTTATCCTATTCATTTCCTTTTTTCCAATTTAAAAAGTCTGTCTGTCTCCCTTCCTTCCTTCCTTCCACTTTGGATGCTTTGGCCCAGGCTCGCTTCGAGCTACATGGGGTGATCCTGAGCATAAGACTCCCCGGCTTCCTATCTCTTTTCTTTTCTGACTCCCACCTGTCTAAAGGTCTCTTGCTTCTGTTTATCTCCCTTTCTGATTCTTTTCTTGCATTTTCACAGTGTTTTTTCTCTTTTTCTCTGCTCTCTGTCCCCTCCCCCTTTACTTCCGGTTTCTTTGTTTGTAAGTTGCAACGTTACAGCTTTTTTCTTACTGTTTCTTTTTCTTTCTTTCTTTCTTTTCTGCTTGCTTATTGTGGGGAGTTATCTTTTTCTATATCTTCCCTTTCCAGGGGTGCGCTTAATTCCCTGCCCTTTTTTTCTTTTTTTTCTGTTTCTGTTTTTTTTTCCTAACCCTCATAATGCCCCCCCCCCCCCGCTTCTTTTCACTCCATCCTTTTCCCTCTCCCATTTAGTTTTTTATGGCTGCATTCCCAGATACTTATCTCTGTAGTTAATATAAACATCTTTTTTCTCATTCTCTCAGCTTTTAG